CTCTGTTTGATGTGAGAGTGGAATGCTGGCTGTGTCGGGCCCTCGGCCACTACGCTGTTGCGGTCCTGCCCCTGCAGGGACCGAGGTGGAGGGGGGCGCCGGGGGCGGTAGGACGTCGGCTGAAGCCCTGCCGCCGCCGCCGCCGGTCGCCGTCCCGGCCCCTTCCCTTTCCCCCGCCCACGCACTCCCCGTCGTCGCCGCCCCCTTTCCGCTCCCTCTTTCGGATGCCATCACCGCATCTCTGCCAATTGAATCACGCCCCCGCCCGCCGCCCCGGAGGAGGGTTACTTCTGAGATCCTGGGCGCCGGCTCCCTGAGCGGCGCCGCCCTGCGCCGCGCCGCCGCCGCCCGGTGGTCGTCGCAGCGCACCGCGAGCGCCACCAGCAGCCTGCCCCGGGCCGGTGAGCGCGAGCCCCGCGCGGGGCCCGCATTCCCGCGCCGGCAGCGCCGCGCCGCCACTCCCCGCAGCCCGACCCACCAGGGGCCGAACAGCGCGCCCCGCGGGCCCTGCGGCTCTGCGGTCGGAGACAGCGAAACACTTTAGGGACAAGGGGGCTGAGTTGAGGATCTCTGCGCGTTCTCTTGTCGCCTGCTGTACAGCGCAGCACACCTGTCCTCTTACAAACGCACAACTCGTGTACCTGGCGGCATGTCCTGGAAGACGCTGTCCAGCTGCAGGCGGTGCTCGGAGACGGGCCGCCCGGCCCTGAGCAGCTGCAGCTGCAGGCGCTGGTGCAGCGGCGGGTACATGTCGGGGAACGAGAGCTGCTCCTCCCACACAGGCTGGCTGCAGTCGCAACCACGCGCGCTCGTCGTCCCCTGAGTATAAGAAGGAGGAAAACATCAGTCACTGTTTACAGAGTTCAGTCAGCCGTCACAAGCTGAGTTAAACTAATTTCATTAATTAATGTGTTCACCGAAACACAAGAGGAAAATTGAAAACTTATGAAGCAGGTCATCAAATATCATGATTAAACTATTTGTTGTTGTTTTGTCTGTTTTTGATTTTCAATCATCCGTCCCACACCTTTTGCCCCGCGAAGGTAACGCGCACGCTGAACTGCGGGCGGCAACGGCAGGCGGCCAGGGCCTGCTCCCGCCGCCTCGCCCTCAGCTTGGGTGCGGACGACAGCTTCCCCACGGCGCGCGTCTTCTCCCGCCGCCTCCCCCGGCCCCGGGCGGGGACGGCGGGGGTCGCGGGGGGTG